CTCTTTGATTTTTCCTTCCTCCTGAGCTCAGAGTTTCACATCCATCACAGTTTGGTTGTGTGTGTTTCCAGTCTCCCCGAAGGCAGCGAGCTAGCTTCCTGCTCTAGTTGTGCTCTTAACTGAACTGCCAAAACTCTCTCCCAACCTCCGATCCTACGATAAATCTGGAACTGTCTAGAGTCAGGAGGCTGTAAATGTATCAAACATCTATGGTAATTTGATAAACTTGACTTCCCATCTAAAAGCAAATGGTATTATCATTCAGTTTTAACTACTTTGCCTAGAGTAAGAAATGTTACAATTTTTGTTGATGGTGGGAGCAATGGGCTGTGGCCCAGCTCCAGCATGGCTATCTTTATACCAGAAATAACAACACACAAATTGTACTCTTTTAAACACTGCTTGGCCCATTAGCTCTAGCCTCTTAATGGCTAACTCTCACATCTTGATTAACCCATTTCTAATGAGTGTAGCACCATGAGATGCTGTGCTGTCTTACCGGGAATATTCTTAACCTGCATCCATCTCAGAGAGGAGAGCTATGGCAACTGCCTCCCTTCCCTTCTTCCCAGCATTCTGTTCTGTCTACTCGGCCTACCTAATTTTCTGTCCTGTCAAAGGCCAAGCAGTTTCTTTATTAATTAACCAATGAAAGCAACAGATAGATGAATGACCCTCCTCCATCATTTTTTTCTTTTTAGTTTTTCAAGACAAAGTTTCTCTGTGTAGCTTTGATTGTCCTGGAACTCGCTTTGTAAGCTAGGTTAGCCTCAAACTCACATATATCCACCTGTCTCTGCCTCCCAAAGAATATTGGGATTAAAAGTGTGTGACACCACACTCTTAAAAAAAAAAAAAACATGATTTTTACCTCCTAATTTTCCCATGAAAATAGAGAGGCTAATGATGTAAGCTTTGGTGTGAGAGATTCCCATGCCATTTTAGATATTTGTGGGATCGAGGTAGTGACCAGACCATAACAACATTATAGGTGTTAGTGCCACTCAGCCCTCTTAGTGAGCGTGTCAGGAAAGTTGGTGAGTCCAGGCTGTGAGGGAGAAGCTTTAGACCCCAGGAACCCTCAGACTGCCCAGACCCATTTTGTTCAATGTCCTTGAATTGAAGTCTACCCTCCCCGGGAGCACTTGTCGGGGACTCAGGAATGACTGAAACCTGGAATAGACTCAGGGCCTCAAAAGTGTTCAGGATCTCCAAAGAGGAGAATGCTGATAAAAGCCAAAACAAAAACAAAAATAGCCTCTTCCTGTTCACACAGACCCCATATCCCAAGAAGATGGCTGTTTCCCGGTCACACAGGAGAGTCCCTCTTTGTGTTGAACCTGGGCTATGCCTATGCTCCCGATGAGGAAGAGTCCTCACAGCCCAACTGAATTGATAAATTGTCAAGGGCAACTTCAAAATTGGTTACACGGTGCCTGTGGATGGTCACACATTGCTGGCCATCCTTTGCTCTCTAGAATTCTATCCTCATGAGTGCCCTGTAAAAGAAAAATGTGACACTTACTAACCAGACTGAAGACCATCATAGGAAGAAAAGCAACTTCTGTGTGCATTGACCTTGGAAGATGACACTAGGAACAAGGTTTTCACAAGATAGCACAGCACTTGGGGGTCATTTCTCTGCCTTGATTTACACAAATGGGTAACAGGCAGATCTACACCATCATAAGCAGCTTCCCTCTCCTCCCCCTCTTGAAGCAGAGGAGCTGAGACTGCCTTTAGACACAGGGAGCAGTAAGGTGATTGCAGGGTATCACACAGTTGGGAAATCCACTAACCCACAGGATTAGCCGTCTTGGCATAGCAAGATGGCTGCCAAGAACAGACTCCACCCAAAGATTATAAAGCTTTCGGTACGGAAGCTCCTGAACACACTAATTCATAATGACTGCATTCATTGCTTCTGGTTAGGAAATGGCCCCCAGTTAGAAGAGCTCTTGACTCTTCCTGCTATCCTGCTAGCTGCCATAAATCGGAGCCTAGACTGTGAGTAACGAAGGTTTAGACAACTGATTTCTCTTAGCTGTTGAGAATGGGAAAACAATGGAAGAGGAATGGCTTCATAAATGTGATGATAGCTAGGAGAAACTTTCCATGAGCTCCGCATGACTGTAAGTGACTGGAGTAAGGCAGTTCTTCTATCCCCGCCCCTCCAGAAAGTCACCAACAGAAGCCATGGGACTACCCAATCTGCTAAAACCTCTAGTGGGCCAGTATTTTATATGTAAGCTGCATTTAAGGTCTACGTGTCCGGTTTTATAAGAGAATGGATTTGAAATGTGTATACTGTTGAAAAAATTAAGAATGAGCCTTTTTTGGTGAAATGCAAAATGGATGTCAACACTACTCACTCAGAAGGAGAGGATTCCACACACGCTGACAGGAGATGTTTCATCTATTAACTTATTTCTTCATTCATTAAATTACATGGCATTAAATTAAAACCACCCCAAATCCCACTACCCAGAAACAACCACTGCTGGCCTTTTCTAGTCACAGAAAGTCAATACAGACAGTGTGTGTTGGAAATGACCTATGCTTCCCATTGTCCTTCCTCATCAAAGAAGTGTCCAAACCTTTGCATCACTACACAAAACTAGCCACAGCGAGTTTCTGAGAAAAATGCCTTAACTTTATGAAAACAGTATTTTATAAATTGCAGACTGTTGGACAATTTTCTGTGATAGCCCCTCAGTGTTTTATTATCTGTCATGTCAGGAGATGAGGAAATATGTTTTTCTGACTCAAATTAAGCTTAAGAGCTGTGGGGATAGCTGTCATCACATAGACTCAGTGTATTTTTTTTTTTTATTGCAAGGCCAAATACACTGTTGGCTATATTTTCTGTTTTGAAAGTTACTTCTGACTCCATTCAGTAGAACTCAGAGTCCAGAGGCTTAAAAAAAATGATTGTTTAAAAGAACAGAACTATTCAAATGATTCTAACTAGATTATATACTAAACACACAATTTCTAGGCCAATGAAAATAATACTTGAATTAGTTGCCATATAACAGATGTACACTATCAATTTCTGCTTAGCTGTCCTCTAGGTATAGCTAGGCGGTATTTATGCACTACCTTGTCCTCCTCCTCCTCCTTCAGTCCATGGAAAGGAGTCTGTCTACTTACTGGAAAGGAGGCTGGAACCATAGCAAACATCATGGGGAGAGGAAGGAGCACATGACTTTACCAAAGATCTTTGTCAGACTTGATCACACATCGTCCTAGAGAAATGAATTTAAATATGTTGGCTTGCCTCTTCTCTGGAGAAGGAAACAAATCCCTGTCTTCAGGATGTGCAGACCTTGACATTTTAGCCTTTGATGTTCTAATATTGTAGCTAGTATAAAAGCACATCATTTATATTAGTATATATAATGCTATAATAATATATATAATAAACAAATGTAACTATACTATAAGTAAGGATTGTTAGGCAATAAAAATACAGTAAATTTGGGGGGTTAGTTTTATGTTGATGACATAAAAGTTTATCAGTTGGTCAGGGTGTGGTGATAGACACCTTTAAGCTTAGAACTAAAGAAATGGAAGCAGAAGAATAATTAAAAAATCTTTGATGGCTTAGCTTTCTCTATAAATGACAATAGTGTAGAACAATTCATACAAAATACATAAAGTTTCACATAACAAATGATTTATTTGTGCTTGTTATTAACATTCTTTCTCTTTATAACAGGAGTTAATTAAATTATTACATACAAAAAATTAATTTGAATTTTTTATATAATTCATAAAATCTCCATTCTATATACCTTTCTTTACATTAATAGTTTAAATTTTTACTCAGTAATGTAAATATTCACCTATGCATGTATATTAGGATCTCTTTTGAGGAGAATGAATCAGAAGGCTGTTATCTCAAAATAAATACAAAATGATCCGGGTGCATTGGCGCACAACTGTAATCCTGGTAACTGAGAGACTAAAGCAAGAGGTTTTCAGTTAAAGTCCAATCTACAAACCAATCTGAGGCCAGCCCGAACTACAGTGAGACCCTTCCCCAAAAGGCAAGAAAGACAGAGACAGAGAGATGGGGAGACCCTGCCACAAATGGAGACAGAGAACAAGAGAAAGACAGAGACAGAGAGAGACAGACAGACAAGAAAGAGAGAGGTACTAAGAGGCCCTGCCCCAAAAGACAAGACTGTAGGGGACAGAGAAGTGCGGTCATGTAGTTAAGCAGAAGAACATGCACCTAATGTGTTCAAAGCCCTGGGTGTGACCCCAAGAACCATTAAAAAGAAAGACGAGAGAAGGGAACAGAAGGGATTCGTTCCTGTTTGTTAGGCAGCCAGTGTTCACTATGACAGACATAGCCAGCCCTGGGATATTGCCAGCCAGGCCAATCACAAGAAGGAACTCCCAGGTACTATCTATAAAAGTGTTTGTGGATCATCGTGGAAGGAAGCTTCAAACTATTCATGCCCATCTATTTTTAAAAGTGCAGTTTGAGTGCTGGCAAAAAGGCTCAGGGAGTAAAAGCCCTCGCTGAGCCAGCCTAATGGCATAAGCGTCGTCCCCAAAACCATGGAAAGGTGAAAAGAGAGACCTGACATCACAGGGTTGACCTCTAACCTACACACAACCATGGCACATGCACACCCATACACACACACACATATCTGCACACACGCATGCACACAAACACACATACCGTCAAATACCAATTTTAAACATTTAACATTACAGTTTCTAGAATTGTAACAAATACAAAAGAGCTATATTCTTCTTCTTGGGTTTTTGTGGAGAACTTTGATGGTAATAAAGTTTCTTAGGCTACTTCACATCACTGGTGTGATTTTCTGTTCTCCTGAAGCTGTGAGTTGACTGTATCACTTGACAAAAAAAGATCTCTTTTGAAAGCAACAAACATCCTTGGTAAGCCATAAGATCACTCAGTTTCATCATACTGGTTTTCAACTGATGTGCTATGTCAACTCTTGTTTGGGGTGCAGACCTTTAATGCCTGAGGAATGCAGAGTCACGGTTCAACCTGCACAGACCCTGACCTCGGATTGCTCCCGGCTCTGTCGCAATGGCTACTACACCCCCACGGGCAAGTGCTGCTGCAGTCCAGGCTGGGAAGGAGACTTCTGCAGAATTGGTTAGTATTTCTGTTATCATCTGGGACACTGAAAGTGGCCCTTGGTGCCTGAGAAACTAGCATCATCAATCTCTAGAGTCATCTAGTATACAGTGGCTGGCGCTTTATGATATCTCTGAAGGTACAAATGAAAGCTTTCCTGTTTTAATATGGGCCGTTCATATATTTCAGGTAATCAAAAGCATAAAAGATCTTTAAATGACTGGATCCTTTCACAAAAAAAGAAAAGAAAAATGAAAACAGCACACAACAGAGTTACATTTGCAGTGTTCACACCACTAAAGAGTTAGCGCTTGTTAAAGTCCTGGCCAAGTGCAAGCATTTTCCAGACACCCCACCAATGCCTACTCTAGCTTCTCAGCTTGCATCTCACTGCGGCATGCTGGGAGCAGAGGTTCTCAGGGTGGGGAGGGGGTCTGGCTAAAAGGGGAAGACGCAGTTCTCTAGGCACAGTTAAACACTCTTCTACTCTGCTCTGCCCCTGTGCCTCGTCATAAAGTGCGCAGCGGCTCAAAGGGACCGAAGCACATCTGTGTGCGAGGCTCTAGCCCCTCGTGTGAGATTCCCTCCATTTAGTGCTATGTTAAATGCTAATCGGTGTGAAGTTAAGAAAAATGAATAAGGGCTGGAGAGGTGGCTCAGCGGTTAAGAGTACCAGCTGCCCTTTCAGAGGTCCTAGGTTCAATTCCCAGCACCCACTACAGAGGGATCTGATGCCCTCTTCTGTCCTGCACACATACAGAAGGACAGAACACTCAGATACATAAATAAATAACAAAGAAAAGTGAATGAACTTAGAAACTTAAATACAAATTCAGAAAGGTGTGTGCACGCATTAATCAATAGTGATCTTGGCAATAATCAATAGTGGTCTTACACAGCAAAGTATACCCTGCCAATGAAAACCAAAATCTAAATTAATATTTATTATTTCTCTTGACACATAATTGCTGATTTTTTTATTCTAAAGATGTATTCGTTTCAAGATATATTATAATTATGACTTGTCCATCTCCCACATTGCCTAACAAAAGCAATCAATACTTAAGAGTCATATAGACAGTACATATTTTAGCTTAAATTGCTTTTGCCATTTCATAACATTACTAATATCTGATTAGAAGTAGAGCGACAAATTACAACTCAGCAGAATCCAGGTAGCTATTTAGAACAAGAACATCCACTCTATGGACCAAGTCCACCTCCCTCTTGGTCAGTTGAGCATAAAATTAAGAATCAATGTACAAATGCAATGATAGTCATGTGCCTGGATATTTTTCCTCACTTCTTTTTGTGTTTGATATGTATTCCTCTTACCCCCTTGTTTCTTCTTATAGCAGCCACTTCTGTTAGCTTCATTGCACTTTGTCTAACTGCTGTGTTACCTCGAACAAATGTAGCTTAAAAAAATATTTTCTGAGCATCTTCTCTGGGCAGCATGCTTAAACTGGGGGTGAACAAATTATGTTAAGTACCAATACGTTATACCACAGGCCCTCTGCCAAGCTCTTGCACTGAGCCCAGGATGGGACTTCGGACATACTCAGAGACCAATGTGCCTGTTCATCCCGTCTTAGCATGGGAAGCAGGGATTGCCAGGGAGACCAGATGCCGGATACTGCATGCAGCTTCAGTCCCAAACTGACTTTATTCCAGTGTCACAGTGCAAGTGCTCCAGCTGGTGTCCCCTTTCTCAAGGCCAGCCTCTCTCCCTCCCATGTGTCCTACCCTGGAGGAAGGGATTGCTGTTGGCTGAAATGCCCCTTGGAGCAGGAGCTGAAAGAGCTGACATTTGTGTTAGTGCCAGTTCATCAAATGACCGCAGTAGTTTCTCATGAGCCCTACTTCTCAGTGTGCTGACACCGGACATTTAGCTCGGTTCCTGTCCCTAAAAACCTGCATGTCTGGAAACTGTCCTGCCTGCATATTTCTCTGCCCACCATTTTGTGACTGTCTTCCGCCTTCTTTTTCTACCTTTCCTTACTAATCAAATACTTGACCTCATCCGTGGATGGCTTCTGACGTGAAGATGAAGAATACTCATGTTGTTTTCTTTCTTGCAGCCAAATGTGAGCCAGCATGTCGTCACGGAGGGGTGTGTGTGAGACCGAACAAGTGTCTCTGTAAGAAAGGCTATCTTGGTCCTCAGTGTGAACAAGTGGACAGAAGCATCCGCAGAGTTGCCAGGGCAGGTATTCTGGATCAGATCATTGACATGACATCTTATTTGCTGGATCTTACAAGCTACATTGTATAGTTTCTGGGACAGTCTGAGTATTGCTTCCTGGTGGGCATTTATTTGATCTTGTCATTAAAACGAGAGACTCTCCTCCTGCTACACGTTCCCGTGAGTTCATTCTCTTTCAGTAACTTAAAAGCAATTTCCAGAACTGTGCAGATTTCAGTGTGTATGTTGGCCATTTTTTCACATACACACGTCCACACGTGTGCACACACACAATCCCCAAACTCAAGGTTTTGGGTTGGTTTTTTTTTTATTTTTTAATATCTACTTCCTAGTGTGGACTGCGTCACACAGAAGGTCCATTGCGGATTGATCACAGAATGTTTATGGCACCAGAAGATATGCTTTTAGTTCCTGGGAAATTTCTGTCTATGATTACTACCGTCAACCATAGTAGGCTTTTGAAGTGTTATTGTGCAATGTGGTGGAAATATTTTTATATTAAAGGTTTATAATAAGAGAGCATGTTTCTAAACTCCTTGGTGAATTTCTGAACAAGCAACTTGATGTTAGGTTGTCAGCTTCATTCCGTGTCTATTACAGAATACTGTGCATTTCCCGTTTTATTTGATAGATCACTCTAGCTACTTCAGCTTAACCTCAGAATGGTTTTCAAATGTTTCATGATTAAATCAGAATGACCTATTTGAAAAGGCAATCTTCCTGAATAGACCGCTTCTATTGTATATTTTGTGTAACGATAGGCACTGGGTTTGTGTTACATATTGATATTTTTTATTTCATTTTTATAATATAGATATCACCTAGATGAAACACCTTTCCCCTGTCCTGTAAAATACTAAAGTTACATTTTCACCAGCTTAATTGGAAAGAAGGGGAGCAGGAAAGCAAACAGCCTCTAACGTGCTGTGGATCTAGTCTAGCAGTGTGTCCTTATGCCGCCATGTAATCACGCTGGTCAGACGGAAAAGCAAGGAAGCAGCCAGTCCTTCCAGAGCTCCAGCATTGCGCACTCGTGAAGTGCTTCCGCCACAGCCAGTCTGTCAGTCTGAGGGATTAAAAGCTTATGGCGTGCACTCTGAATCCACCCTCCATGGAGAATGACCTGCTCGTTCATAGCCAGCTCAGGTTGTGTAAGCTGCCAAATGCAGATTCTTAGGATCCTCATTCTTGACATCACAAACTCCCAGTGCATAGGTCCCTTCAGGATGCTGGGACAACCCCCTTTGGTTCTTGTCTCAATCAATTTCCTACCAAAGAAATAATGTACTCTAAACTTAAATTACAAGCATCTGACAGGCATTTTTCTTACTGGTTTTCCGTTTGCCATCTTTCCACGTTTGGGTTTTGACAGTGTGTAAGGGTTTTTGTACTACTGACTGTGATAGGCACACACCCTCTACCATGACATCCATTCCTCTGGAATCCAAATTGTAGAATCATATAAGTGCTCAGCACTGGATGATATTGCACACAGGCTCCCCACCCTCGGGAATATGAGTCTTAATCCTGAAACACGAACAGCAGTCTCCCGGATAGTAGTCCTCTGTTGTTTTCAGGGAGAGAGTTGCAATTACATTGTGGAGTCTAAGGAATTCTAAGGAATCCACAATGTAGAACAATTTGTTGGCTCCACTTACTCCTGTCTTCCATATATGATTACGTGGGGTTCCAGTGACCTCATACCAATGGAAATGGGTTGAGAAATCTTGGTGCTCAGTGAACAATAGCCTGCATTAAAAACTGCATGCATAATTGTGCACAATTTAGCTGCAATTGACAGTCTATTCAGAGAAGTCTTGCGACTAAACGAGCATGGAGACCACATTGCCCTCTCACCCCAGAAAAAGGGTGGTCCCTGCCATCGCTCCAGCTCTCCGTTGGCCCAGCACTGTGACAAATCTCGCAATGAACCATGCAGTAGCCTGCATCTGTAGGTGAAGAGCAACCCCTTGTCTCTGTGGCTTTCTCTTCTTAGTCCTTTTACTGAATTCCATCACAGAAAGGTTTACAATTTAAACAAAAGGGAAAACTGCCCTGACCACCATTTTTGTAAGCAGACCTTCGTATCAAATCATCCTTTATTCAGCACGGGTGACACTGACAGAAGGCAAACGTCTCATGAGGCAGCCAGCTGTCTAAATCTGTCAAATCGTACAGTTTTATTACACATACCTCCCCCCCCCACTCACAGTTTGAGCAAAAACAAGAAGGATACCCCTGGAAATCCAGCAACGTCTTAAAGCCCAAGTGCTTCTTTTTACATCTTAAAGAGAGGATGTTCCATGGGTAGGCATTCTACTCAAGCAACCTAGACAGGGCTTTTTCACATAGCTCTCTTTCAAGTGACTTAGAGATGTTATTGCCTTTCCTATAATGAGTTATCCAAATGTAATACCAAATTCTCTTTATAGAAGATAGGATATTTAACCCAAGCAAAGGGTCTCTTAGACTCCATTCTTTCTGTCCTTAGGAGGAAAGTAGATAACAATGACTCTTGATGACTGTGTGTTTTAGACTACATGACCAATTCCAAAATTTTCTTTGACCTCTTCCCTGAAGTTGTTTTTTAAAATATATGACTGGGGATTATCATAAATGATTTGTGAGAGATAGATGGGAATTGGTAAAAAAAAAAAAGTATGAGCTAAGAAAAATAAATGTTTAATAAATGTTTAATCATTTAAAAGTCAAAATCTACCCATCTAACAGAGCACACAATCTAAAATGGAAGAATGTCATTTCTGTGAACACTGCTGTGTATGAAAAAGAAGAAATAAACAGTTACTATCCCCTGCTCATCCTAGATCTTAGCTCCAGGTACCAGCTGAGTGTGAGGTAACCTTCCTACCAGTATTGCTGCCAAACTTTTGCCCTGATTCAAAGCACATAAATCAATGATAGGAAAACTAAATATCATTAAATTGCAAAGGAGGAACATCTAGGCAAGCTCAGTGATGGCAAAAATGTTTTTTGTTCATACCTTTTCATGTTAGGTATTGAAAGATATTTCGCAAGCTTACTCAGAAGTTTCTACAATTTAACTGATCAGTTTCATGAAGGATGGGCAAAGAAATCTATGCATGTCTACAAAACCCAGCTAGAAAACTATTTCCTTATCATTTGCATGCCTCTGAGTAGTGATGGCTTCCCTAGTGGCTATCTTGGGAACGGCTACAGAATAACATACTGTCATTTTGTTTGTTTCTGACCTTTGTTTTAATTATCTGAACCACAAAGGATCCAACAAGTCTACGCAGGGTCAGAAGATGAAGTAGGAGGTGGGCTGTGCAACTGAGGTCTTTCCAAGCACACACCAATCTGCTAGGAGCCCCTCTTCTTTCTCTTAGCACAGGAGAGAAGCCCAGGTTAAGTTGGTAAGGGGAGGAAGTATGCCAGTCAAGGAGGTATATCACTTTACTTTTTGAGCCTCTATCTAGAATGTTACCTAAGATTTCTCCACCCTCACCCGTACCTTTCTAGCATCTCTCTTTGGATCTCTTCTTCCTCCACTTCCCTGCATTTTATGATGGTTTCCCTAAACAGATGCACCACATATGCCTGTCATGACATTGTCCTGGGACAGATACCTATACATTTTGCTGGGACTTGTTTTCCTTTGTTTTCTCTCCTGGAGCCACGCTGACTTACATTCAGTATCACTAAGGAGTAGAGAAATAGCAGAGCAGGCTGGTCTGCTGCAGTCATTGAAAGAAATGACGAAAAGCACACAGATCCATCAGCGTAGCTGCCCCATGCCGGTCTTCCAGCAAAGTCACTAGAAAGAGGAGGAGAGCCACCATAGTAGAAAGCTTGAGATGACAGGACGGACACTCCTAGCTACTTCCTATCAAAGTGACAGCCATCTCTACAGAGTCTACTTTGAAGAAAACTATTCCAAATCCATTTGGCAGGAAACTAGTGTCTTGGTGATGATGACCTCAGACACTTATCCTCCCTGCCATGAGGTCTGTGTGTCAGACAACTCAACCAAATTTATATGCCCAGAAAACGAACACATTTTTATTCCCTGGGGAAAGTGGTGGCACTGTTTCTGGGAACGTTGATGGATTCCCATCAGCAAGCTCCCCTTTCTATATGTGAGACATGCATCTGCTCTGTCTTTCTTTGTCACACCAGCACAAATGGGCCACACATCCGATTAGAAATAGGACATGAAATGAGATACTAAGTCTAAGAGCAGACACATCCTAGATGTTGAGAACATGTTCTTCGAGCCTGTCAGGTGCGGGTCTTAGCAAGTCCTGCCTGTCTTCCTCGGTACCTTCTCCTCTGAGTAACTTCTGGAATGGGCTTGAGGTCACTTTCTAGAAGAGTACAAAGTACTCATGGGAAGATTAAGTAGCAGCCTTGGGGAGATTTCTTCATTTATGAGACCGGCATTTCCTTAAGTTGTATTAAGTGTGAAGCCAAGATCCACCCATTCTTTGCCTTGTTTTCCCATACACTTTATTTAGGGCATGTATCAGCCACCTGAAAAGACACAAATAAGTAATAGATTTCTTGCATCAATAAAAAGCCTTATACCTAAACCTTCTCGTTTGTTTCTGTCAGTCAATAGTAAAATTTTTAAAAGCGGTACTAATTCAGCATTCATTCTAAGGTAATGTTTCATGTCCATCACAAAGTAAGATGTCATTGCTTATTCAGGTTTTCTTTTCTGAATATCTATTCTTTATAGATTTGAAATACATATATCCACGTCCTGGCAAGTAAACATACCTATATAAAGTATATTTTCTCAGTTGGCTATCATTCCTTTAAGTAAAAAGAATAGCTTTTTCTCGTCTAATATATATATATATAACTAATGTATATATTTAATTTTTCTCTATAGTATATGTATATTATATCTCAATAATATATATACACTATATATTATGATGGAAAATTCACAGTGACCAAATAATATAAGTTTTTTCTTCACAGTTAGAGATTCAGTCTTGAACATTTCTCTCTGGACTGAAAGTTGGCTAATCAGTTGTTTCCATTCACACGAATGAGGGGTGACTAGGCTGGGGATGGTCTGTGCCAGAATAAACATTGGATGCTTCTTAAACCCATAATCTTAAAATCTGGGCACGACTTTTCTGGAATGAACTAAGAATCCACGTTCAGAGGGTTCATTTCATCATATTAATTTGAAAAGCTAAGCTGACAACCTGGTGATATAAGATATCCCCCATATCTTTTTCTGCTCAGAGGATGTGTATGAACCTGCATGCTGCTAAGAACCGTGAAGTAATAGTCATACTGAAGTACTGTAGAATTCGGGAAACTTGATTCTCTGGGACAGACTAACAGACTACTATTTAAAATAAATCTACCTAATTACAATGAAAAAAATTATTGAGTCATGACCATAAGCACAAAAGAATTGTAATAGGAAAATCTGGTGTCCTGTTTGGATTTATCTGTGATTGTTTAGTTTTTTGTTTAAGTGTTAAGGGGTGGTTTTGTGTTTGATTCTTCTCACATATTTTGGTGTTTTGAGTTGTCTATTTCCCTCAGGTTATTGACAATTAAAGCGGTCTGTCCATATGTTACAGGACATTTCAGAACCAATCCATCCTCGGGTTTCTGTTAATAAGAGGCAGCAGATAGTAGGAACGATTAGGAAGCCCAGGTGCAAGTTGAAAGGATCAGGACTAGGCTAGATTTCTAGAACATTCTAAAAATTAATATGCATGGCTACTGGCTCACATAATCCTCCGCAGTTTGAACTAATCTGGTTTCACTAAATCGGTCTGTAAAAATATGCAGTTTTCCTTGATTCAACCAGCAATCTATTCATTAATGCAATATAAACGCTGACGTGCCTCATATAATCTCCCACTGTTGAGAGGCAAGGGCATCCGCAAGGACAGGGCTGGAGGTTCACTGGGATGATTAAGATGTCCAAAACAAAAGAGACTTTCACTCCAGCTAGCTCCAGCTTGCCTGGGCCTTAGACCCCAGCAGCGATGAGTAATACAGATGGTCTCAAGTACATCTCTATGTGTCTGTACATGTCCACACACCCGTGTATATATATATTTATCTATCTGTACAAACACTACATATGTATACACACTATCTATGTAATATATAATATATGTATAATGCATATAAATTCTAACAAGTGTATTTGTGTTATCTTGAAAAGTGGTAAATGCAGAGAATTGGCTTTATTGTTGATCTGTGGATTTAATGTTTTTTAGGTGAAAGGATGTTTTAAGTGTATAATGTCTTTTCTTAATTTAATATATTTATGTAAATGCATGCCTGAAATTTGATTAGATTGGCTGTGTTTTGTGTCTTAACATGATCAAATGTATTAAACTTTATCTTATGACTTTATGTTATGTGCCCTTTCAAAATTTGTTTTTATTTTAAACTTTTAAAAAGTTCCTCCTAAGTTTTCAGACTGGTTGTCATACAAATACTGGTTTTGAAATAGTCTATACTCAAGCTACTTGTAAACGTTATTGTCTTTTGTCATTATTTATGTTCTAATTTTAATATTTCCCATTCAAATTATACCTAATGTCAGGGTCAGTTTCATTGTGTAGCTATATTAGGCACCAGAAGATAGGTCATTGGTCTACATTTGTTCTAAGTTACGACTGACCTAAGTAAACCTAATCCTTTGAAGTGTGAATTACTGGTCAAGTGAAAGCTAAGACAGAGAACGAAGAAGAATGTGTGTGATGCAGGGCCCCATAGTGAAGGAAGAAGCACGTGGGGACAGGGAACAGGGCTAAGGCAGGTACCCCCCAACTCTGTGGCCTTGTTATCTGGCTTTTACCTTAATTGAAGCAGATTTTTTTTCTTTTGTCAAAAGTCCGATTGGTAGAGCTAGAGAGATGACTCAGTGGTTGAGAGTCCTGACACAAAGTTGATCCCCAGGACCCAGGCAGCAGCTCACAGCCATCTGTCACTTCAGTCCCATGGGCTCCCACACCCTCTTCTGACTTCCAGAGGTCCTGTGATGCATGTGGGCACATCTGGCAGATAATCACGCATACGTGTTTTCAAAAGACTGATGAGTGAATTTGAGCTGATATTAGAATGATGTGGGAGTGTCGTATATCAATCTGTCGATTTCATTGGTTAATTAATAAAGAAACTGTTTGGCCTGATAGGTTAGAACATAGGTGGATGGAGTAAACAGAACAGAATGCTGGGAAAAAGGGAAGTTAGGCAGATACCATGCCGCTCCTCTCCAGGGCAGACGCGATGAAGCTCCGACTTAGGCTAGAATCTTCCTGGTAAGTCACCACCTCGTGGTGCTACACACATTAATAGAAATGGGCCAAGCAGTGTTTATATGAATACAGTTTGTGTGTTGTTATTTCGGGTGAATCTAGCCGGTGGCTGGGAGCCGGGCAGCAGGAAGCAGCCTGCAGCTCCCTTCTACATTAGAAGAGCAATCTACTTACATCTCAACCCACCCCCCATGTTCCTAAATAAACATAGCTCACTAGCTTCCTGAATGGCGGCTTTTATAAAAGATTATTGCTAAGAGAATAAAACATGTAGTAAGATCCATTCATAAAGCGGCCCAGAACTTAGGTTGCTTCCTAGAAGCTCAGGCAAAATGACATCAGGAAAGCACCTTTTAGCTGGTTCCATAGGGACCCAGGAAGCACCAGAGACATCCTTCGGTCACTTTTCTTCCAGCTGTTAGAGCACATCCCCCTGCCTCAGCACACAGAACACGTGACTCCTGCATGTGTCTGCCACATTTTGAATCCCTGACAGACCTCAAAGACTTGCTATATACACAAGTAAAATAAAAAAGTGTGCACACAGTCAGAGATGGAAGCTGTCTTTCTTTTACTGATCTCTCTGGGTTCCTCCTGGGTCCCTCATTTGGCTTCTCAGCTCTGCCATCACTGGTTAAATGAATTCCTTGCTTGAAATTCCATGATCTGTGAACATCTAAAGTTGCTTCCATGCTGATTTTAAAGCTCTCAATTGATACATACGTTAACATGTGCTTTAGAGAGGGGTGGGAAGCAAGATGGTGCTCCTCCATGAGAATGGGACATGGCAGGGTAGGACTGTAGCTAAGCAGCAGGGTGCTCGCTTAGCAGGCTCAAGCCCCTCCCTGGTTCCATCCTCAGCACCACAAAAAGATGAGAGTAGAATAAACGATGAGAAGAAGAAAAGAAGAAGAAGAGGAGGAGGAGGAGAAGGAGGAGGCAGAAGAAGAAGAAGAAGAAGAAGAAGAAGAAGAAGAAGAAGAAGAAGAAGGAGGAGGAGGAGGAGGAGGAGGAGGAGGAGGAGGAGGAGGAGGAGAAGGAGGAGTCAGAAGAAGAAGAAGAAGAAGAAGAAGAAGAAGAAGAAGAAGAAGAAGAAGAAGAAGAAGAACAAGAAGAAGAACAAGAAAGAAGAAGAACAAGAAAGAAGAAGAACAAGAACAACAAAAAGAAGAAGAACAAGAAGAACAAGAACAAGAAGAACAAGAACAAGAAGAAGACATGAAGAAATGTTCTCTGGGATGTCATAAGAATCATCTGCTCTCTTGAACCCCAGTATGAACACAGTAAGATGAGGTTAGGAAAATATGGAACCTACTGAGGGCAAAGGTGCCAGTGGCCATCACTGAGGATATTTGCACAGGCTATATTCGTAATGCAACTACCAGCTTCAGTTTTCTCTGGGCATACAGTCAGTGTGACAGTTTTTCTAAGCACTTGCCCCTTTACACTTACACTTTAAAAGAGAGAAAAGAAAGGACATTTGGGCCTGGGGAGTTGGCTCAGTGGTAACATGAGTTAGGATCCCAGCACCTACATAAAAAGCCAGGACACGACTACACACGTCTGTAACCCCAGCACTGGAGAGACTGAGACATGGATCGTCAGCCAGCTTAGCTGAAAAGGTAACCACTAGGTGCAGAGGGAGACCTTATCTCATAAAAATAAGGTGGAGAGTGACATAAGATACCTCCAAGTTAGCCTCTCTCTTCCACATTGTATGTGCGTGTGTGCACATGTGCACACGCACATATACACACACTCACTCATACAAGCACACTCATGCATAGACACACTCACTCATACAAACACACTCATTCATAGACATACACTCACTCATACACATTCATTCATATGTACATACACACACTCATACAAACATGCGCACTCATACATACAGACACATACACTCACATATGTATATATACACAGTCATACAAATACATTCACTCATACACACACATGCTCACTCATACACACACGCAAAGCAGATTTGAAACTGATGTCCTATTTCCTGAGAAATATAACCTTAAATACCAGCCACAAGTTAGTGTCTCATTTAAAATCTACCTTTTTTTCCTATTTAGCACTCAAATAGGTGTCTCTAGAGATTAAATTGTACCATCCTTCAAAGAAATGAAAGGATAAAAATAAGGCAAACACTGTGAATGAAGTATTTCTAATGTGTTTTCATAATTTGATTTATAGTGCATTCCTATGCGCCATTTTTTATAATTAACAGAATTTAAAAGGGAAGGGGGACGGGGAAAGGGAGCGAAAGGCTGGGTTGGCAGTGACTGTGAGGCTCCTTCGGGGACTGTGCCAGCATCAGAAGCCGCTTGAGCTCAGGCTTGGAATTTAATAAGGTGCTGTCAGAGTCCTCTGACATATTTACAACCTTGTAATTAAGACCCCTTGATGCAAAATCCATGTGCTTCATGGAAAGCGACTTTGCTTATCTTAGACACTCTGCTCCATGATCTCCAGCTACCAGGAGCCATGCATGTCAGGGACACTGGCATGGACCCTCGGGGAAGGCTGTGAGGTGCAGATGTCAGGTCTGGATCTCGAATGGATTACCCGGTTGGTGTTCTTACACCTCTCACTACACTTGGGAATCAGCTTTCTTCTGTTAAGAAGAAGAAAACTAGGTTCCTTCCAAGCTGGGGCTGGGGAGACCCCTGCTCACTCAAGTCTAAGAACCTGAGTTTGGACCCCCAGCACCATACAAAAGCTCATCATATCAGGACACGTCTATTACTCCAGTAATAGACTCTGATCATGGTCAGCAACTCCAGACAAAATAGGCAAAACACCAACCCCCAGGTTCAACGACAAACTCTGTTTCAATAAATAAGGTGGAAAGACGGCTGAAGAAGACACTGAATGTCAGCATGCCTTTACAGTCAAGCATGCTTCCCAGAAACATGCACACACACACACACACACACACACACGCACGCACGCACGCACGCACACACACACACCAAATGCACGTATAATAAGGTTAAAGGACATCCTTATTCATCTCCCTCTTCTTTCCGCCCCTCCCCCACAGTTCTTCCTCCCTTCTGTGGGTCTGTCTTTGATTTCTCTGGGTTTGTCGCTATTGCTTCTCCCATCCTAGATGGTTCATTCTGATTCCCTCTCATGTCCTATCGTGTCGGATCTGTGCTTTTTATTTCCTCAAGTTGTCAAAGGTGTGGTCACAGAGAGGCAACAACAGCTCCCTCCAGGGTCCTTCACGTCCACTTCGCCTCTGTCAGTTATAACAGGTCAGAGAAAACTACAGCAGAGGGTCCCCTAATAACCTAAATCCTCCACTACACCCCACCCTGGAAAGCCTTGATAAGCACTCAGTAGCTCCAAGCTAGGGACAAAGCCTTTAGTTTGAATCCCTTTCCAGATCTGAACTACAGCACAGTGCAACCGTAGGTTCCAGGCTCGGGCTCACAAAGTAGAATATGTGGTGGTACTAAGTCAGTGTGTTGGGGACAGCTATCAGGATCCTGGTTCTGGAAAGGACTGCTCTTCCCAGCATAGAATGATGATCCCACAAACATGCAATATCAATATGCTGGAGCTGGTCTCGCACCTGAGCTAAACTTATGCTGGGTTGCACAATAAAATGCATGATTGTTGGCGTCCAGCCTCAACGGGATTTGCATGTTCCAGAGTAGGGGTATGAGGATTAGAAACACCAAGCAGGAGGAACAAAGATATGAAAGAAAAAGAACAAAGACACAGAATAGAATCGGGAGGGCAATCCAGCGAATACTGAATTTGCCTGCATTTATTTTCCATATGCTTATATACCCCAATCCAAAAAGGGGAAAAAGAAAGCAAAAGACTGCTTTAACACAATACAAAAAACAAACAGAGCAATTCCCCGCTTCAGTGCCTGAAGCATCAGAAGCATCACGTAACTATATCCTGAGTTAAGTATTCTGTTGTTTAGGCAGAACATGAAGTGACCACAGCTTAGACCAAGCATCCTGTAGGGAGCCACTCTCTGGGTCAAGGCCCCTGTCATATCCTTGAAGGATCGGGAATAGGCTTGAATTCTCTGACCTTTGGTCCAGGCGGAATGAACCC